GGACATACCATTTTCGATATAGGAGGAAGACAATAACCAACTGGACTTCCCTGATGTCCTCATCTGCCGCAAGGATTTTGGTGGCCTAAAAACCAAAATGTTCGGGAAAACGACGAAAACGAAGTAAATACTGAACTTTAACAGAAACCACCCAATCAGCCACAAACTCAGCGCAGTGAACCGGAAGATAAGACTGACGAATTTCAATATCTTTGGCGGGTTTCCAGAAGAAACGGTTATGCGCGTAGCTTCGTCAACCGGTGTATGCAAAAACGAGAAGAGCAACAAAATCGTACCGACTCCAAAGTCTGGCGAGCGATCACGTACATCAAGAACGTCTCCGAGGCCGCCAGTCGCCTTCTCGCACCACTTGGGGTTGGAGTTGCCCACAGACCGGAGGCAACCATTAGGTGTCACGTGATGAGGCCAAAAGAATCACTGCCACGGCACGAAAAATCTGGAGACTTTTGCCGGATCTGGTGCAGTTGTAGGCAAAGCAACTACGTTGGAGAAACTGGGAGGATGCTTCTGATGCGAATCGGCGAACAGGCGGTAGATGTGCGGAAAAATGATGTCAGCTCTCAAGATGCGGCCCATTCGGCTATACCCGGCCACAAATTCAAGTTCGATGAGGTCGAAATTATCTCGAGAGGTGGTAATCGCGTGGGACGCGAGCTGCTTGAGTCATGGTTCACGGGACCCCAGTCTAGCAAAAGGTGCAATGCCATCCCCACCCCATATTCGCTGCTGAGACATAGTCTAGTCAGAGTAATTAGCCACAAGGGGATCGCGCATGCCGGTGAACCAGGTGGCCGAGCCATCATCACGCCAACACCAGACAAGATTGATGAAACTTCAAAAATCAACAGCTTGCATGCTGGTCATCAAGCAATTAACACACCAGCCGGAAATAATCCTCGATGAAAGAAGGAGCAGCTAATTATCATAGGTAGTCAGTCAGCCCTATAAATACTGTAACTTTCTGTGCACGAATCACCCCTACCTGTCACTGTCTATGATGATGGGTTCGAGCGTGGGTCCGAAGCGTCAGGCGAATAAAGCTCTTGTTCCAGTTGTCGCCTCTACTTCTTATTAGCCGAAGGCCTATCAGCAAAGATGCGGCTGGTGCCAGGTGGCCGCCTTTTCGTGATTTCTGCCACACATTTGAAGCCAGTTCGCCTTTGTACGTCAGCATGCGAATATTCACTTATGAATGGACACCCCGCCGTCAGCGACGCAGAATGCTGGGTTGGATGAAGCGCTTAGTACCCATCTGATGAACCCTGTCAATGAACCATCTACGCTGTTTGCAGACACATGCTGCCTTCCAGGTCCCAAATTGTGGTTAGGGTTATGATTGGCTGAGCGAAGACAGAATAAGGCAGACACAGTGCTGCCTCAATCCACCTGTGTCCTCAGGATTTTAAGGGCGCAACAATTGTTCACCTCTACAGGTGAAAAGGGGACCGGCATCACATAGACATCCCTCTACTGAACGTCGCCGGGATGGTCTTCATCCTCGTCCTCCTCAATCGTCTCAACGGCCACCCAGAGCATGGACTGATGGTGCGTTCAAGTGGCCTGATGGGCAGCTGCGGCTGTGCGGACGCAGGTATTCCCGAGCTATCGGTCGTGTGACTTCAGGTCAGCGCATCTGGAACGGCTCACTGCAAAAGGGTGGATGACCTTGGGGCAGCGAGGTCTTGAACAACGACGCCAGACCGGTCATGATGTCTGCCCGCGACAAAATCCTCAGAATCTTGTCCACAGTAGAGTATAAAGTAGAGATAGGGAAGAAAGACGGAGGAGAAAGGGAGAGAAAAGCGGGGAGGAGGAGAGCACACGCGGACTCACGCACGGACACCCTCACCTGCTATAACCCGCCGGTCGAGGCGGCTACCGGGGTGTGACCGCTAGGCAGCGTCTAGCTTCGGGGAGCCACAGGTTTGAGCTGGGTGCCAGTTAATGAACGCTGTACGTAGTCAACATCTGTAAGCGAGTGAGCGGCCTACCACGACTGCCACGTGGACTCACAACTGGACACCCCTGTAAAGTATTTACTATCCCTTTCGCTGTGTGCTAGCTGTACCAGCCTTAGCCGTCAAGCAGCATCCGCGTGCCTAGCTAACGCTCAAGGTCACGAGCGCATGATCGAAACTTCGAGGTGCTCATTGGCCATCTCGTAGCCAATGACCTTTCCCCATGCCGTCAACCCAGGATTCGTCATCCGGATTGTCTCCTCAGCTCAATTCACGTCCTGCCCGCAAACGGGCTTCTGTTTTGCATGTATGCCAAGTTTGAATTCCCAAAGTCTGGAAAAGGCGTTGGTTAGAAGATATCAACTAATGCCCAACAACGAATGCTTTACAACATCATCTGCCGGCTGGCGGATCGTTGAGCAACGGTGTCCTTGTAGATCACGTTGAACCGCCATGACACAGAAGTGGCCGGGTAGACTAGGGATATGGAATTATTATATGCATGAGAGGTTGCTTTGGTTGTTGCCTCCCTCCTCTGCCCATCTTCCACCATTTACTACAAACGCTACCTCCGGTAAATTTCCTAGTCCATAACATGGCAGTTCTTCGCGAGCTGTCCTGCAGTCCTGGTGTGAATAGCAAGTGGGTAAGATGTGGTTTGGTAGCTCCACCTGGTGGACACAATACATTTGGGGTTGAGGGTTATGGGTTAGAATTAGGCGTTAGAGTCAGGGCAACTATTTCTTAACCACTCAGAGTACAACCGCGCATTCGCAATAGCTTTTCTTTTGCATACAATTACTTGACCTCGTCGCCTGTGCGTTCCCCGGTCCCATCTGTAAAAACACTTAGAACCACCGGTTTCGTATTAAAGGCGACTGGGGTTTTTTTACTTCAGGTGGGGCTACATAACCACATCCGACCAGCACGTGTTTATCGGGAAGACAAGACCAAAAGTATAGCCACTAACCAGATAGCATAAGACCAGACGAAGGTGTGACGGAATTTCTGCCCTTTGATTGACGCACCCTGCGACAGGCTTTAGCAGGCGTGTGCATCCACTCGCGGGCGATGTGAATCCGGGTCTTAAGGAGGAGTAAAATGGCGCTCCTAGTTGCCAGCGTCACATGCCTCACACCAGGTGCTTTTTGTCGTCAGTCAATCTTCCCACTTTTACTGTGAAGGCAGGGACGCGTGTGTGCTTTCTAGAAAGTGCAACTTGCAGAAGTATGTCAAAATTTAGCAAAGCTGACCGCGCATTTCAGCCCACTGTTATGCAAACAGGAGGTGGCGAGGTCCTCGAACGGGCAGTTTAGGTAGGGAACCACGCGACACTTTAACTGTTGGATAAAAAGCGTTTGGCTGCCCTGTCACTGTTTGGCAACTGGGTGTCTACTGCTTCCATTATAGATGGTGGCGCCATTTTTCGGAACGGTCTGTTATGTCAAATATTTCCGCGGTGGCTTGCTTCACTTCTGAATGAATGGGACTGGATAAGTACATTAAATAGGGGTTGCTTTGAAATAGGAAATTTCTGACCCTAGCGTCCCATCAGAGCAAACGTTCTACTGTCGCATCTTATTTCGTAATCGCAGTTGCAGTAAGCAAGCACCAGCCGCTTGTCATACGAGACCGGTGGTAATAGGGGGTTTAACATTAACCCCTAAAGCCCAACCCCTAAGCCGAACTCTAGTCCCTAACACTAACCCTGACGTCAATACCTAACCTCTAACCCTCACGCCTAACCCTAACCCCAACCCCCAACACTAACTCCTAACAGGTGCTACTACGAAATAAGATCATACCGCCTTTACTAATAAACACATCCGAGTCCTTGCGCGTGCTCAGTCGGTTGAAATAATACGCTATATGGAGGGCAAAATCCGACCTGTGCAAACAAATAGACGTGGACGTTAGAACTGATCATCCACTAGTAACCCCCCGGTGCTTTGATTTGCATGCTATCGTACCCTTTCCCTTTATTATAATTTTATGTGACCTCCTTTCATTAGATTGGACCATTTGCTCTGGTCGTACGAGTCGGCACATTTCCAAAAGAACACGAGAGTACCTTCCCGCATGGCTGGGAAAAGTTGAAACTAGGAGAATAGACAGTGGCATCCTTGCGCATGCAATGGATTCAGGGCATCGTGTAGACCCCGTTGAAGCATTTCGTATGATTTATAAGGTCCCCTCGAGCTACCCTAAGCTACTGCGCCAGCGCCTGTTAGCAACAGCAGAAGCGGCATCCATCAGGTTACGAAAACCGACCCGATGCGCCCAAAAGAACCTCGGTAAGGCTGCGCGCTTACCGTGGTCAAGTTTGACTAACCACATTCAACTTTCTGCGTCCTTCCGCTCTTGCCTAGCCTATTTTAAAAATTAACTTTTATCGATATCTTTCACTCAATGTACCCCGTCCCATATAACTGCACTGACCTGACGAGAAGTTATCTAAAGCAACGTTCGCTCGCCACCTTCCTTTTATTTTATCGCAATTTTATATAACGGCTTTTCATTAGATTGGACCATTTGTTCTGAACCATAACCTTGCCGTTTTCAAGTAGATTTTCCTCACAGCTTTGACCTACTGTCTATTCACTACTTGCAATTCACCTCATTAAGCAGTAGGAAACAGCTAATGCCAATAGATCCTACCGCTTACGCTTCTTTTAAATTTACATCGGGAAGAAAAATACGTAATAGTTCACGAGTTGTAGCTAGCATGTACATTATCTGACCGAACTCATGAAACATGATTTCCCCTCAGTGGAGCGCTTGTAGTTGTAGGACGAAGTTGTTTGAATTAGGAGCTGGCTTGACAAAAAGGTTCCAAAATCAGGAGTCAGGAAACGGGGCTTGGGTTGCAGAATATTTACTGATGAGGAAGTGCGTACAAGATGGTCAGCTCTTCAGACATGTTATTTGCCAGTAGCCGCCGTTCGGTTTATCAGCCCCAGCGCGTGTATATGCCTTCGGTCTGTCCCAATTACTGTTCGTCTGTGGCCAATCATCGGTAGGTCAGCGCTGATTGGCTTCGAGTTCTCGCCAGACTCGTGATAACAGCGAATCGACGTGGAGCGTGAGGCAGACAGAGGGGCAATGTAACAAAGCGGCGGCGGTGGCGATCGAGTGAGCGGACCGCTAAAAGGTCATGGAGTAAGCAAAAATAACGATAATGACTTCGATTTAAATAAGGCGACTTCTTTCACCAGCTCCAAAAACTTATCGACGAAATTCTCCATCTACCCCGGCGTCAGACATCTGCAATAGTTCAAGGTGCAGTATATGACCTAACCTTATGAAACGTGATGACAAAAAACTGAAGCGACCTCTCTGGGGCGCCTAAAAGTTATGCATTATGCTTAATCACCCAACTCGTTCCTACTGTTTATGTTTCTAAGAATTTTTATCAAACGAAAGGTTTACAAACTTGAGCTTAAATTAATGTTATCTTATATTCGGGCAAATTTGCACGCTAATAACTATTATCGGCCAAGTTCATGCACGTGTTCATCCACGTGAGGGCGTAAGTGTATACTGGAAACATTTATCCAGCCAAATTATTTTCTATTCCGCGAGAAAAAAACTTACTGCTTCGGCAAATACTTTCAAGAGATATCGTATTTTGAGGGTTTTGGTGGACATAAACTGTCGAACCAATATTTTCGGGTAGTCGATTAAGAGCACCGAATACTGACATTTCAAGGACACCCACCAGCTCACCGGACTCCACTGTCGTCAAGAACCATACAGTAATTCTGCTAAAAAAAACTTCTCTTGATACACAGAAAAGGACACGCTTGCGATTATATCTGCTAATTTTATCCGAATTCGTTAGTCATTGATCGGCCTGTCAACATGTCCTCTTATAGAAAAGTTATTCCTCTGCCGTATCCATAAGCAAGATCAATTGAAATCCTCTCTGCTTTAATTAACAGCATCTCGACCAGTACAAAACGTTGTGCTGAATTCTCACAGCAAGCTTCTGTAACACATTATCAAACTACGCACGTAGCTATATGCCAGGGTTCACGTAACGTTAATTATTGGACGACATATATTGCAGATATAAATAAGGAGCATTTTTTAAACATCACTGTGCTTATACCGTTTCATTTACTTAGTTAATTGTATGAGCGGGCTTCTTGCACTTCTGAAAGCTGAGTTCAATTATGTGACATGAATTTTCGCACTTCTCACTTTTCGTAAGCAACTTGCTATTTCTAACCATCGACGTAGTACTTAACATGTGTATTTTGTGTTCTCATTTGATTGAAGGTCATTTATTCTTAATTTGGTGTTTTTGTGCATGCGATTCACTTAGTTCCCAGCTGGCTAAGGATTACTTTTTTTAATTTAAACTTATTATATTTGTTAGGTAACCAACAGTATGCTGAAATATGTTTATATCACTGTCTCATGAATTCTTGCGCAGAATGGCTGACGCCAAATTAACCTGGAGTATAGTAACGTTTTGGACGCGGATGATTTTGCAGTTTCGCGTTTGACCTTAAATGACATATTGCAGACATTTAATCCCACGCAATACTCCACTGATTCAAGGACTTACTAATGAGGCTTTCCGACATGCAACTGATGTACGACAAGCCACAAGGACAGGATTCAAAACTACACCAATCAAGGCCAGCAGAAGCAACAAAAACACTACTCTGACGATGGCAACGAGAGAGTTTCCGAAACGTCAGTCCAAATATATTTCGGTGAATGAAATTCTACCTTCTTCTTATTCTTCCTCTTCTTCTTCTTCTTCTTCTTCTTCTTCTTCTTCTTCTTCTTATTCTTCTGTTTCTTCTTCTGCTTCTTCTTCTTCTTCTTCTTCTTCTTCTTCTTCATGTACTCCCGGGGATGATGAACACAATAAGATATCTGGACCTCGAATCTTCGCGCATACGTACATAGATATATACAGTACGTGACCTGTCCATGAAACCTGATAACGGAAACTGATGTGACAATTTCTGGACGTCTTTAACGTTGCGCATTTTGCTTGGGCATCCAATTTCTTCAATAAAATGTTCTTTTCCTCTGCAGAAAATGTGTATACGTAATTATGCTAAGCAATATATTACTAGATTTTATCAATCTTTCAAGGCCGATCCGAAACTAAACGTAATCAAAAACGAACGAAAAGCGTCAATCAATTTAACGGAATAAAGGTTCTCTCTATAAACACAAAATGGCATTCATATTGACAAAATGGAGTGTTTACTATCACGCCTGCCAGCTCTATTTAAATTTATTAGCCACCGATCGGCCTGGCTGCATGCCGCCTTATGAAAACCTTTGTTCCTACGACGTCCCCATCGGTGGAATCAAGCAAACTCCCGTTTCTCTTGTCGAACCCCGTCTTATTCAACCCAAACGAGTCAAGAATGCCACGAATCCCTGGAAAACTGTTTTGGAATCTATACTCGGAATGTAGGCCGTTGACAAACCGCCATGCATCAAACTGCACTAATTCGTAAACGATATTTAGACGTAAACTTCACTGAAGTACCATCATTAAACTTTGTTTATTTGTACTTTCATAGTTATTACGTTTTTGTTATGAAAATACATTCCACATATCTAAAAACAAAGTTGACTAAATAACAGCCATTTCTGACGTTTTCGGGATATTGCGCTGTTCCAAAAAATCGGCAATTCTAAACAACGCAACATGGTCTATAACATTTCTGATATGTTATTAATTATTTAAACCTGTACTAAATTAACGTATATATTGGGTTCATGAAATGGTGTCGATTTGCGAGTGATTGGCAATCATTCGTAAATTTCAACATCTTTCCCGAATTAGGTCACCTACTGTATGTAGAAAGGCAGCCATCCCAAGAAATATAAGTCGAAGTCATATATGCACTTTGAGAAGGAAAGTTTATTGGGCAAATTTTCGACTCCGGTTCCCCAGGTCGTCGTCAGACATAGACAGAGAGCAAATGCGCCAACACTGTTAACATCTTAAGTGCACTTAACAAATCGATAATCGCTTGGCCTTCGTGCCAGTAAGCGGCCGTCGTGTGTGCGTCAGTCCGTTCTGATTGGCCTTCGCTCCTTTCATCTCTCCTTGAGATTTCTGTACGCCGCCTCCAAATCGATGTGCCGGTTGATGCATGATTCGTCTGAGTGCATGGCCTCAAGGAACTGTCGGCATTTCTTGGAGGGACACACAGCGACAATGCGAGTTTTCTCTCAGGCGAATGTGTGCCCGGTGTCCAGGGTGTGCATGGCTACTTGAGACAGGTGGTCTCGCCTCTTCACTGCCAAATGGTGTTTGTGAATGCGTGTTGAGGCGCATTTTCCAGTCCGGTGGCCATAGGCGACATCACATGCATCACAAGGTAACTTTTATACGACTTCTTTACTGTCCAGATAGTTAACCCTATCCTTAGGGTGCACGAATTGAGTGCACGGAGTAGTCGTCGGTTGATGCGCCACCAGAATTTGGTGCTCTCTTAAATGTCTTTCAACGAGTTCAGACACATTTTTAATGTAAGGAAGTGTTTGTCAAGTTTTTGGTTCGGACGTCTGACTTGGACTACCTGGCTCCTTCCTCTTCAACTCTTTCTGCCTCATGCATCGACGCACAAAGTCACTAGGGTATACGTTCTGCGAAAACAATTCACACGAGAAATTTAGTTCATCTCGATAGCCTTCTTCATCAGAACAGTGTGTTTTTGCTCGATTAAGCAGACTGTTGACAGCACTCCGTTAGTGAGAGATTGGCTGATTGCTTTCATAAGGTAGAATGACTTCCGCATAAGTGTCTTTTCGGTAAACCGATGTGCGTAGTGTCCCGTTGGTCTTTTGCTGTACGAGAACATCCAGAAACGGGAGTTTACTGTCGACTTCCTTTTCGAGTGTGAACGTAATATCCGGAATTGTTGAGATTATATTGTTGTGGAGCGCTTCCAATTTGTCCTTTTTAACGACAACAAATGTGTTATCTACATATCGCAGCCACAATTTAGATTTAATTGACGGAAGAGCCGTAGTCTCTAGTATTTGGATGGTGACTTCGGCGAGAAAACCAGAAATTGGGGATCCCATAGGAGCTCCTTTCAGTTGTTGATAGCACTGTTGGTTGAATGAGAAGTTGGTTTCCAAGCCTACGTCTATGAGTTCGAGCACGGCAGTTGCGGGAACGTCTATATCATAGAACATCAATAGTTTTTCTTTGCATTGTTTTGCTACATCTAGAGGTATCGATGTAAACAGGGACACGACATCGATGGAAACCAATATTTCATCAGAAGAAATTGTGGTGCCTTTCAATTTCTTTAGAAACTCTGTTGATTTCTCAATTGAAGTTTCGCAAATCCTCGTAAGCGGATGAGGTTTATGGAAGAACCACTTTGAAATCTTGTAGTTTGGTGCCCCGATTAATGATAATATCGGTTATCGGTGAGCGCCCCCTAACATTGTATATTCCCGATCGAAAACCGACAAGGCAACGGGCTCGTGGCCCGGTGAGTAGAGGCGTTGACTTCTAAACCAACAGGTCGCGAGTTCGAGGCTCGGGTGTTCCACACTTCGGGCTTGGGTATGGCTGGCTGACGACGGCTAATAAGCCAGAAATGGCCATTCCAGTCTCCCTTGTCTTTGTCGGTAATACTATTCTGCCAATATCGGTTGTAGTGGGACATCTGTCTTGTGAACTTTAGGTAATCCAAACATCTTCGCGATTGTCGGTTCATTTTGTCTCTGGGATATCGCTATATCTCCTGACAGTTGCTTCTTCCCTGTAAGACGCTTCAGCACTTTATCAATAGATCAAAGCTGTGCTTTGGTAGGGTCCGCTGAAAGTGGTTTATAGGTAGATCCATCCTCTAACATCTTATTATTGTAGTCCGTTCTGTTCAAAAGTGCGACTGAGCCTCCCCCGTCCTCAGGGAGAATGGTAATATTTTTGTCAGTTCGTAGACTCTTTAACGCCCTCTTTTCTTCATAAGATAGTACTGAAAAATGACTCCGATCTTTTAAGACTTGCACATACAGTTTTGCCGTGACCAACATCCATTACACTTATTTAAGTCAACAGTCTGCTTAATCGAGCAAAAACACACTGTTCTGATGAAGAAGGCTATCGAGATGAACTAAATTTCTCGTGTGAATTGTTTTCGCAGAACGTATACCCTAGTGACTTTGTGCGTCGATGCATGAGGCAGAAAGAGTTGAAGAGGAAGGAGCCAGGTAGTCCAAGTCAGACGTCCGAACCAAAAACTTGACAAACACTTCCTTACATTAAAAATGTGTCTGAACTCGTTGAAAGACATTTAAGAGAGCACCAAATTCTGGTGGCGCATCAACCGACGACTACTCCGTGCACTCAATTCGTGCACCCTAAGGATAGGGTTAACTATCTGGACAGTAAAGAAGTCGTATAAAAGTTACCTTGTGATGCATGTGATGTCGCCTATGGCCACCGGACTGGAAAATGCGCCTCAACACGCATTCACAAACACCATTTGGCAGTGAAGAGGCGAGACCACCTGTCTCAAGTAGCCATGCACACCCTGGACACCGGGCACACATTCGCCTGAGAGAAAACTCGCATTGTCGCTGTGTGTCCCTCCAAGAAATGCCGACAGTTCCTTGAGGCCATGCACTCAGACGAATCATGCATCAACCGGCACATCGATTTGGAGGCGGCGTACAGAAATCTCAAGGAGGGATGGAAGAAGCGAAGGCCAATCAGAACGGACTGACGCACACACGACGGCCGCTTACTGGCACGAACGCCAAGCCATTATCGATTTGTTAAGTGCATTTAAGATGTTAACAGTGTTGGCGCATTTGCTCTCCGTCTGCATCTGACGGCGACCCGGGGAACCGGAGTCGAAAATGTGCACAATAAACTTCGCTTCCCAAAGTACATGTATGACTTCGACTTATATTTCTTGGGATGCCTGACTTTCTACATACAGTAGGTGACCTGATTCGGGAAAGATGTCGAAATTTACGAATGATTGCCAATCACTCGCAAACCGACACCATTTCATGAATTTCAATATGCATGTATTTTAATTTATTACAAGTTTAAAAGAATTGATAACATATAAGAAATGTTATAGACCATGTTGCGTTGTTTATAATTGCCGATTTTTTGGAAAAGCGAGATATCGCGAAAACGTCAGAAATGGTTGTCATTTAGTTAACTTCGTTTTTAGATGTGTGGAATGTATTTTCATAACAAAAACGTAATAACTATGAAAGTGCAGATAAAATAAAGTTTAATGATAGTACTTCAGTGAAGTTTACGTCTAAATATCGTTTAAGACTTAGTGCAGTTTGATGCATGGCGGTTCGTCAACGGCCTACATTCTGAGTATAGATTCCAAAACAGTTTTCCAGGGATTCGCGGCATTCTTGACTCGTTTGGGTTGAATAAGACGGGGTTCAACAAGAGAAACGGGAGCTTTTTTATTCCACCAATGGGAATGTCGTAGGAACAAAGGTCTTCATAAGGCGACATGCTGCCAGGCCGATCGGTGGCTAATAAATTTAAATAGAACTGACAGGCGTGATGGTAAACATTCCATTTTGTCAATATGAATGCCATTTTGTTTTTGTAGAGAGAACCTTTCTTCCGTTGAATTAATTGACGCTTTTCGTTCGTTTTGGATTATGATTAGTTTCAGATCGGCCTTGAAATATTGATGGAATCTATTAAAATATTACTTGGTATAAGTACGTAATCACAATTTCTGCAGAAGTAAAGAAAATTTTATTGGAGAAGGTGGATGACCATGCAAAATGTGCAATGTTAAAGACGTCCAGAAATTCTCACATCAGTTTCCGTTATCAGGTTTCATGGACATGTCACGTGCTGTATA